GAAACAGCAGTCTTAGTAGTAAGTAAATATTTCTCTAGTAATCATGCTGCTAAAATTAAAAAATTAATTCCATTTTCAGTAGCTAAATGGAAACAGTGTTATTGATACATACAATTTCTTTCAATACTCCATATTGCCAAAAGACTGCTAAAGAATATCTACAATCTATAAATTATGAGGATAAAAAAAAATCCAATCCGGTTGTTTTCTTGAAAATTTCTAATTTTTCAAGTTTTAAAAACAATGTTCTATATACAAAATGTTGAATTAATTAATTATAAATCATTCATGTAGAGAATTAAAAGTATTAATTTATATAAGTATAAGTTGTCAAGTATTAAAACTCTACACAAAAACATGTTTAGAAGATTAATTAATAAATAAATTAACATATTTAAATTGAAGATAAAAATTAAACTATTTAGCTGNCAAGAGAAACTTAAAAAAGCACAAATATACTTTAAAATTTTTATATATGATGCTTATAAAAATGATAAGCAATAAGTTATAAAATGTTAAAATGTTTTTTATCTTTTTGCCATGCTTCAATCAAAATTTCTTCTAACTGATCATCTTTGAAACGATCGATCCATGACTGAATTAAACCAATAGGAGTGGCTTCATAACTCTTCAGAACAACTGTATCATCTATACATATAAAATTTAACATAAATACAGAAATGATTAATATTTATATACAGTACATGAACTTAAATAAATGTCTTTATTGAGAATACTGGAAAATAATATTCAAAAATGTATCATTTTTAATATTCCTCAAATAAAAAATTTTGGAAATAAAACAAAGTTGTTTATTTTTTCCATTCTAGTAGCTAAAGAAAGCAACACAAACTGGCAAAAGTAATGGAATTTATCAAGTAACAAAAATTTAACTCATTGGATCATTGAACTGAAAGTCTGTGTTTTAGTTTATTTCAGTATAAATAGACATTCCATCACTTATTATTACAGGGATGCTTCTAAATACAAGACAGTATTCCCTATTAATAAAATTCAGAATTAAATACAATAACCATGTAGTCTTAGTTTAAACACCTACAAACCTAACTATTCATTTGGACGATAAATGCATAAACTGAGTATTTAACAAGCAATTAATTGAAGAAAAAATTATAAATATTACATTTATCTAAATTATTATGTCTTTTTCTGTCATGTAAGTATCCTTAAATAATTCTGCAGTAAAACTATGTATGTGGGCTATTAGTAATACTGAAATGATTAAATGATTATAAAATAAGGAATCTCATCCAATTATATAAACTATATATAAAAATTATTATTATTTGCATAAATTTAAATTATCAAATACAGATGATTATATAATTATAACATTTAAAATAATTCAACTTTTTAATAGATGTAAAAAAACTATCCATTATGAAAAGTATCTTCCCAATAGAGGTTTTGCTAAAATTATCTTTAAATGAAGCCTGCACTTTATAAACATATACACATTTAGAGATTCAGAGTAAGACCAGTAACTTACATAGAGATCTGTCTTCTTGCTTATGACATGTTAAATGATAAATGTAACTATACCACCGATTGGTTATTTAGAAAAATTTCAAATCATAAGTGACACAAAAATATAAAAAGAGAAAAGTAAAAGGGGGCACAAGATAACAGGTATGACAATTATAGAATTGAATAAATGCCAAAACGATGTTTTCAAACAATGTTAATATGTAATAAATGTTATTGCATAGAATAACATTTTTCTGATAATTATAGTGAAGATGCATAAACTTCTACAGTACAACATTAATATTAACAGGTTAGTCAACATAGAAATTTTACTGTATGTCATAATTAAATTGTGCAGTCAACTTGATACTACAGTGAATGGAGTATTGACTTTTGGGAATCAATTTAACTATCTACAGAAACTATGAAGAAAAAAGTTTATTTAATGAGAATCTACTGTCCATCAATGGTAGTTGAGATGTCTGTAGTGCATTTACATGTCCATGTTTGTAATGAAGTGTTTCTTCTTGAGAGGTCAATTAGAATTAAGTTATATACTTTACACAAAACTGCAAAACTTGTCTTTAAAAGGTGCTTTATTGTATATGGATTTTATTAAGTTATCTTTTTAATGAATTAGTAATAAAGTTTTTAATTTAGTTTAAAATATCCAGTAATGCATTTTTCTACAAAAGCAACTACTTTAATCTTGTAATTTATCTATAACAAAGTTTTCTTTAACCAAATACATAACAAATATGCAGAAAAAAGTTTTTTTTTAAATATAATTCTTTAGAAAATTAAATAACCATTCTAATAATGGTAACAAGTGAAATTTATATTAGAAAAATCAATAATTATCCATTAGGATATTAAATGCAATTAATATTCATATTCATTAATATTATAGTTGTTATAAAAAACTTTACATATTTAATCATGTACGGTCACCTCACTTCCTCTCTTAATTGAATTCTTGCATATTAGTAGGATATCCTGAACAATTCTTTTTTAAAAGTTTACTAAGAAAAATTTTATGTAGTCGAGTTCAAAGCATAACATCTTAAATAATAAAATTTTTAAAAATCTACACTAAATACTACATTTTTTCTTGTATAAAAATTAAGCAAATTGATATGTGAATGGGTGTTGTTCCATATATCTAACAATTTGATACTCTAAAAATCTTTTGCATTTGTGTATAAACTTTCCAAATTTCTATACAGATAAAGGCCTTCAACAATACTACTTTATATTTTAAATTCTGTTTAAATACAGTATGTGGTATTTTAGATTATAAAAATGTCATTTTTTAAAAATATTTTCAAATATAGATTTTGAATCATTTCAATTTATACCAGTATGAACATATTAGCGTTAGAAATTTTTCCTCCAAAAATTTAACAAAACTACAGCCACCTTTCTACAGAGATTTATAAAACATTTTCTAAATATTAAGAAACAGGAAATAATGACACAAATATCAAAATTCAAGCAAGTCTTATAATAAATCTCAGTTTATTCTTTTTATTATTGTATTAAATTTAATCATTTATAAAATTTTTCTGAAATTTAAAATTGTAAGCAATGATGATAAAGGAGCTATAAATTCATTTCAGAATCAAAATGNCCTCCAAAAATTTAACAAAACTACAGCCACCTTTCTACAGAGATTTATAAAACATTTTCTAAATATTAAGAAACAGGAAATAATGACACAAATATCAAAATTCAAGCAAATCAAGTCAATTACATCATCATTTAACAACAAAAGAACAAAATTTAAATACAAAAAAATTTATCACGTCAAAAATCCACATAAGATAATATCTGCATTATCTTTACCATTATGTAAAGAATAAGTATAAAATGAACTCATCTAAATACTTTTCAAGTATTTTTATATTTTTTTCATGCATAATACTTGAATAAAAAATAAAATTAATAAAAATTTTTCAATTAATTACAAGAACAAACAAGTCTTTTTTCAAATTGTTAACTGAAAGTAATAAAAAAAAACAAAAAATTCCCAATTATTATTTTAAACTGGATTACAATTATTATTAATTCAGTACAGGTTCTTTTAAGTCTGGCAAAACAAAGGCTGCATTCAGCAGAGCCAACAGTTGTAACCTAGCAAAGGTGTTTCAATCGGTTGCTGTTACATAGTCACATCTGCTGAATGACGAGAGATGTATGCATTGGAACAAAAAGAAGCCATCATTAGCCAGTTTCAGGTAGCAATAGCTAGCGAAATGAAAGATGCTACTAAATGTAACGTAAAAATACCAAACGTGTTCCAAAACAGCACTACTGTAGAAAGCATTCGGCAGAAAAATACTCAACAGCTTTGGAACTGTTCTCTGCTGAATGCAGCCAATGTTCTATAAGTAATCAAGTCAGATATCAAATGAATCAACTAAGGGGGAAGGAAAAACAGATGATATGTAATAGTAGATCGGTTAAAACTCTATATTTTGAAACCAAATCCAGTTAAGTTAAATATTTAGATCACAAAGTTATTTAAATAAAAAATAAACAGGTTGTGGCCAAAGTTTTCATCTCTAAAACATGAACATAGAACGTTGAGTGCCACCATCTTTTAAGCCTAGAAATTTGACAATGGCGTTTGAAATGTCGAGCATGATTCCAACAATATTCCAAATGCCACTGTCAAACTTCTAGGCTTACAAGATGGTGGTGCTCAACATTCGACATTTACATTTTAATTTAGATACAAAAACTTTGGCCGCAACCTCTCCAATGAAATTTGCATCCTAAACTTCTACACGAAGTTTTAAACCGTTCGATTTGGGATCGATGACAATAAAGATTTTCCTACTGAGAAAAAAAAAAGTAATAATTCAATTTGATCATCTAACAAAAACAAAATTAAATAACTGAAAATGTAATTTTTCAAAAATTATCATTCAAATTTTCTTTAAATGTTGATTAAATTTATTTTTAGTATATTATAAAACACACTAAAATCATTTTAATCAACATTTAACACATCAGAACTAAATAATTGTATAATTTATAATAATAACAATAATAAAATTAACAAATAAAACATCAAATTCTTCATCTAAGTAATGAAAAAAAGTTATTAGAGAAAGCAAATCAATGATAAATTAAAATGAATAAGATTTATTGTGAAATCCTTTCATAGCGAAAGTGAAACATGTAATACAATCCGTTACTTACTTTTGATTGTATTTAAAACAACAAAATTCATTATTTGAAAGAAATATAAGTAAAATTATTTTCACAATTCACGAATTAATATAATTTTCTAATTACTATTATTAAATATTTAATTAAACGGAATTAAAAAAAAAACGCACAAAGAAAGATTCTTAAAACGTAATATTATAATATAAGTAATGTTATTGGTCATGGGAAGAATTTCGGTTCAGAAACGACTAATCAGAACCTTCGACATATAATTGCCGTGTTACGCTCGATAATAGTAAGGGTCATTCTCTTTTTAAGTTGCTTAACCGACTCACTTTACACAATTGTTGACCTTGCGATAACTCTTCGAATGGATGTCTACTATTACATCTCGTACAAGCAAATAATGCGGCCATAATTAAAATCAAAAAAGGTTAAAAAACTACAGTTCGTCAAACAATGGAGACAACGGAGCGTCTTCTTCTCCTCCGGATACAAAAATGGCGTCGGATAATCTCGAACCGGACTTTCGCTGGAAAACCGGAACAAACGTCATTGTTATTTATTGAGTTCGATGTTAGATACGTCACAGTCGGATCTTCGGAAGAAAAGTTATGCGTAATTAATAAATTGACTGAAAAGGAATAATTTTTCGTGTTATGAAATCAATTAAGAGTTATTAATTTAAAAATATTTTGATCTAACAATTTTATTTTAAATTAATAGTTTTAACAGTGGACCCTATAACACTGTCGATAATTCCGTTTTATATGAATTCCATGTTGTACGAGTCACTTAAATTTTACAAATACGTGTGCCGGGCTGTGAACGGCTCACGTATTTGTAAAATCTAAGTGACTCGTACAACATGGAATTCATATAAAACGGAATTATCAACAGTGTTACAGGGGGGTCGACTGAACTCTTTCCGCCATAAAGTCACCAAGGGAACCTTTTTTAACGGTGTAAAACATTTTCGTCTTGTTAAAATACTCGAAGGGAAAGCGGTTGGACACTATTATTAAAATAATAGCGAAACCGCATGAGGCTTCTCTGCATGTCCTTGAACGCTCTATGAATTTAAACTATGCCGTTATCTTGCGTAGTATCCAAGATTTGTTCCTATGCAGAAAGATTCAGGATTACTTATTCGTTATAAAATTTAATATTTATTAACAATTTTTCTATTGTAAATATTTAATCATATGGTATAAATTATATATGATATTAAGTCTTTCTGCTCTGTGAGTACCAAGATGGCCTTCTTTGAAGTCCATTATGGGTTCGGCCGGGCCCACAATGGGGCTGGTGGGAGACGAGATCCAACATATCTGGAGGAACCAATCTCCAAAATTTCCTGGGGTGTTTTTTATCCGTGAGGATTGGATCTCGGGTAGGATGCCACTTTAAACGCCCGGATATCCGTCATGATTAATACGATATTGTCAACCGAATGGATAAAACCACTGAACACTGGTAGTTTTCGTACCTGGCTACGTAGAGTTTTCCGGATTTCCTTCAAGTTTGTAACTCTTAAACCAGTTTCCCATTAAAGACCTCCCGGGAGGCAATAACTCTCTGCAGATAGTCCACGTGTCGTTTTGGCTGATAAGCAATGCGACAGCAACCACCCAAACAAAAAACAAAAACTATATGACATCATCAAACGTAAACATGACGTAAGAAACATAAAGAATTTCCCATTAGTCATATTTAACTTCCGTATTTATAATATGAAACATATATTTACAATTAAACTTTTGAAAACCGTAAGAATATTAGTTATTTTTTTTAATTATTAAGAAATTTAAAATTATATACAAATAAGATTACGTCACATAACTTTTTCACCAATCCTATTCAAGTACTAAGTAAAGTGCAAAGTTTATATCAGCCACTCCACTGACTAATTGTTTGAGGTGAGTTAACTTTTACAGCTTTTGAATTCGATAACATTTTAATAAAAAAAAAATAAATGTTATAGCAAGTTTTAACTTTTTTAAAGAAATTTATTTTACCTTTTGCTTTAATTTATTTTAAAAAATTGCTTTAATTAAACAGTACAGAATCGTATCATACAGCACTTCACTTTTCTCTTAATAACTCGAGGATTGTTTTAAAATTAATTTCTTAATTAAGAAAGAGGAAAATTAACGTTTTATTATTACAATTATTTAATTGCAAAACCGAAAAAATGTGGTTTGAAAATATTATTAATCAAATAAATATGTTGATTAAAACAGATGAGATATCTAGCAAAATGATTAGATGGAAAATCCGTTCAGCCGAAAATTTTCCAGGGGAAGGCAAAGCTTGGAGACAAATAATTACATCAATAAATTTTTATTTAATTAATTTATTTTAAGTTTCCTCACAAGTAGATTATAGAATACCGTATTGCATCAGTGCAAAAAGAGACAATGCATCCCATGGTCGAGGGTGTAAGGTTACAGTGGTACATTATAGCTTCATGGAGTCCTGGCAAATCTGAATTAGGAGGCTTCATGCACTGTACAGTGTTCAAACATTTTTCTTCGGAGGAATCCCCTTGTATCTTCGTTCGTTTTATAACGCAACCTCTACGTAGTGCCAGAACACCGTGCACCTGAGCCATACCGGCAATCTAGGATCCCAGATATGGCCCAAATTAAATTTTGATACTCTTACTATAATAATGAGGTTCTAAAAGATTGATTGGTGGAGGTTTCAGGCAATTGCCCTTTTTGACCATAGGATAATTCATAGGAACATTAGAAAAGAAACCAAAACGGAAATCGAGTTTCCAGATCAGAAAAACTTTACTTTCGTTCTTCCTGTAAACATATATATCCCTAAGATAACTTATATAAACGAATCAATTTATTAAACATATATTTTCATACAATATATTTTATTTTAGTGGCTACGTAAATCTATAATTTGGCAATTTTTATGCACACACTCGTAATGGACGATTAGCATGGATCAGAGATAGGAGCCAAAGATTTTGTAATACTTTTAATATGATTTTGACGCAATCTAAAGCTAAAGATTTCTATTTTATTTATTAACTCATCTTTATTTATAAGATGAGTTCATAAAAAATAATAATTAGTACAAATACATGGATGGTGGAAAACGACATCAACTTATCTTTCTGCAGATCAAATTTGAATAGGAGTCGATTCAGAAATTTTCGTTGATGAATGACTTCGATGTATTGTGCTCCCTGTCGCTCCTATCGTGAATTGGTGTTGCTTCTAACGAATTGGATTGAATTGATGGTATAAAGCAATACAACACATGGGCGATCTGGCAGGGGGAAGTGCCTCTCTGGAGAACTTTTTAAGTGTTAGTGGGGTTTTTTTAAACGAGAAAATTAGAACAACGGTGTTCTAAAACAGAATATATAAATTCAAATACAAAATATAACGAAAGATAAGAATATAACAAATACATATAAATCTCAAACTTAAGGTGTATTTTGATGGTTTGTTTAATCTTTACCTTAATCTACTACAATAAAAGAATATCGTAGAAAAGATTCTGTGTTGGTTGCAAACAATATTAACAAACAGTTCTGTTTATTTTAGAATTAAGAAAATTCACAATGACTTTTCAGGAACAGCCAAATTATGTAAGAATCTCATTAGTTAAATCTTACATATATAATCAAAATATTCTATATATTATTTTAATATAACAATTCTTATTTTTTTTAAATTTAAATTTAGAAGGTAACCATTTCCGAAGGTGTCTCATTTATTAAAACGCTAAGCGATAACCATAATATAAGAGCAACTGTGAATGGTTCTGTTGCGGGAGGCATCATTGTTGGGAGCATTGCTGCTGCATCATCTCTCATATTAGGACCCGTCGGTTTATTACTTGGTAAGCTATTTCTTTGTCATTCTAACTGTCAACATCACGATTTATATATTTTTTTACTTTAGGTGGAATATTCGGCGGTTTAATAGGTTATTCAATAGCCAAAGATAAATACAAACCGTTATCCAGTGTAATTGAAGAGATGACTCCTCAGCAGAAAGAAAAACTTAGGAATCATTTGATCGTTCTCATGCACAGTGTTGACGTCAGAGATTTAATAACTCTAGCTGCTCTCATTGCTTCGAATACTTCGATTAAAGGAAAAATATTAGCCGGCATTATCAATTTTATAGTGCAAGAATTTGGTGTTCAACTTCAAAATTAAATCTTTTTTTTAATATAAAATGCGTTAAATATTAAATATTTCGTATAAGCTATCATTGTGTTGTTCTCTTTTAATCTAATAAATTTTATCTGCATCAAAAAAATCTTATGTTATGAGTTACAATAGATCAAAAACATCCGATAAATAATGATACTGTGTAGAAATATAATCGAATATAAAGAATAAATGAATAACAAAAATTTTAATTACATATACATAAAATCTGTCCTGTGACAATAGGCATGGTTATTTTCTAATTAGTAATTAATAATACAGTAATTTAAAAAAAATGTAATTAAGCCGTCCTACTTAAGAAAAAAAATTAATTAATTCGAGTTTTTAAGTGTTTGACTATACGATTCGGAGGCCGGATTTGCACACCCCACAGCTTAGGATTTCTCATTTTTACATGTATTGTATTTTTTCCTATCTGTATAGATGTTAGTGTTGGAGGGCACGATTTTGTTCAACCTCTTTGAAGCGTAATAACTCCTGTGCTTTTTGGTCAAAAATATCTGAAATTTTGTAGGGAAGTTTGTGTATTAGTGGAATTGATACTATTGAATTCTGGTAGTTAAAGGTCGACGGAGTGAAGAGATAAAGGGGAGTCGTGCATAGTATCTCGAGTCGGAATTGACTTAATGACGATTTTACTCGTATTAGCATTTACAATTTTTTTTGTTTTATAAAAGTCATCCCTATCTTCAAAATTTGGCTTTTTGCCATTTTATAGTAATTAAAAGTATAAAAAGTTTTTAAATAAAATATAACAGGCTGCGCCAGACACAATTTTACTTGTTGCCGGGAAAGTTAAGCAACTCTTTGCNTTGACTTAATGACGATTTTACTCGTATTAGCATTTACAATTTTTTTTTTGTTTTTATCAAATCCATCCCTACCTTCAAAATTGGGCTTTTTGCCATTTTATAATAATTAAAAGTATAAAAAGTTTTTAAATAAAATATAACAGGCTGCGCCAGACACAATTTTACTTGTTGCCGGGAAAGTTAAGCAACTCTTTGCTGAATTTTCTTAATAAATTAAAATATGTTTACTTAATGTTTACTATGTATACTTAATGCAGTACGTATACACATCATCTTTCCAAATATAAAATGCAGAAAAATTACAACTGAACCTTCCATATGTATAGCTTAGGACTACAACAAGTCTGTTCACCATTGTTACCACTTCTCGATGGAACTCATGANCATCTTTCCAAATATAAAATGCAGAAAAATTACAACTGAACCTTCCATATGTATAGCTTAGGACTACAACAAGTCTGTTCACCATTGTTACCACTTCTCGATGGAACTCATGATTTAAAACTTTACTCCATTTTTCTCTCTAATTTTCAAAGTTATTATTTTTCTAATACAGTATATATTTTCGAATTGATGTGTAAAATTTCGTCTGTACTTCTATTCATTCATTTTAATCATTGCTTTCTCTATAAAGGAACACCTTTTCGTTCCTTTTAATATATTGCTGCTCTATGAAGACTTTCCTTGCTTACTCTTGTTTAATTTCTGCATTGTCACGTGTCACTCTTCTTAACAACTGGTTCAAAATATCTAAAACAATCATCATTCTTAATCCTATTTCCTGCTTATTAATAAATTGTCCTTCTAAGATGTTCTTGAAATTGATCTTTCATCCCAATTTGTATGGTCCTCCAACAGTTTTCTTGTTATACATTTAATATTTACAATATCTTGAACAATCTGCCAATAAGAGGTTAAGGCCTTAGTCTACTATTTTGGAGGACCCGGGCTCGAATCCGAGCAGACAGAGCCAACCTCTAGAAAAGCTGGCCTGGTGCAAAATTCTCATGTGGAATCTTGTGAAAAAAGTTACGTAATTTTTTAGACAGTTAATAGTTTAATTAAACATTTCATTTATCTTCCAATTTCTTATATCAGTGTCAAATTGCATAAAGTCTATCGTAGTGTGGAATTAAGTCTTAGAGACTCGCAGAAAATTATAAAACCTGTCGCGAAAATACTGAAGAAAAGTTGACCTCTAAAGTGAATAACCCTAGGAATTTTTCGTGGGCGGTCTGTCTCGAATATGTCGGGCTCTATCCAGGCCCATGAGGAGAAGGAATCCCATCTTGAATCTGAACCCATGATGAACATAGAAAAAGGCCCTAATAGTGCCCACGGAACAGAGAAAATACAAAACGTAGTTAAGACAATAAGCAAGCAGAAAACAAATTATGTATATATCAGTAAGATCTACGTTTGAATTATTTCTGATTGTCACCTTCTCGCTGTTTAACATATAACACATTTGCTTTCGTGGCTATGTAGACGACATAAGCCCGAAAAGAGTAGGCTCTACCTTAAACAGCATTGCATCCATCACGAAATATAAAATGCAATATTATTTTATTCAGGGTCGGATCATCGCATAGACAAATGAGACAAGTGTCTATGCACGGTTTTTTGAAGGGCCCGGTCAAACTGTCTATTTTGAAAAGATTTGTAAATAAGATATTTTACTTTTCTGTTGGACAACTATATATAATAAACAAAACTATATTGCTTTTTATATGGTTATTGTGAATTCTAAAATCTATAAGAAATGTGCTCTTATATTTCTTCTTATTGAAAGTAATTCTTCCGATAATTTAGAATTTTTTTCATAGCGATAAGAATAATATTAACTACAAGATGATGAGTCTGGCGTTGTCCGGGCAAAAAATTAGAACAAAAGGTTAAGATTATTAGATTATTTCGTACTTCTAATCTTTCTATTATATTATTTTCTAGTAGACCGGGCCGCTCCCTTGTGGGCGTTTTAGCAGCAACGGTATCATTTCGTGGTATAAATAATAAATTCATATTACAAATAATAATAATAATAATAATATACTGAATTTCTCATGGCGTACCGTACTAAAACGCAGTCAAAAAACGCAAAAAATCGTATCTAAAATAGTACTGTACAATAGAAGCCAAGTTCTTCAGGGTAATTCTTAACTCTCTCCCCCGTGAGGGAAATTTAAAAAATCCCTTCTTAATGTGCATTCGCATGGCATACCCTACTAAAACGCAGTCAAAAACGCAAAAAACCTCATTTATTATTATTTTAATATTGTTACGCAAAAACTGGATTTATTGTTAATTTAACTAATAGCTTAGGGCGCCCCTAGTGGCCATTCTAGGCATACCGTTACAGATATACGGATACGCGATCAATGGCTTATATTGTTAGATAATAGCGAGGCTGTGTGGGGGCCGAGGGGGGAGAAATTTAAAAAAGATGAACGATAATATGTGATATATATCGTCATCGTCTCCCTTGCCGTTTTGATTGCGGATCGGTAACAATCAACGACATGTGGAAGCAGTTGAGTCAGAGATAGATGCTTCGTGTACAAACAACACAACCGTTTATTAATTAAACACGAAAGATGCTTACAAGATTTCCGCTATCTTGGAAGTTCTGCGGCGGCTGCGGTTTCTGGGTCTTCTTACTTAATGTTTACTATGTATACTTAATGCAGTACGTATACACATCATCTTTCCAAATATAAAATGCAGAAAAATTACAACTGAACCTTCCATATGTATAGCTTAGGACTACAACAAGTCTGTTCACCATTGTTACCACTTCTCGATGGAACTCATGATTTAAAACTTTACTCCATTTTTCTCTCTAATTTTCAAAGTTATTATTTTTCTAATACAGTATATATTTTCGAATTGATGTGTAAAATTTCGTCTATACTTCTATTCATTCATTTTAATCATTGTTTTCTGTATAAAGGAACACCTTTTCGTTCCTTTTAATATATTGCTGCTCTATGAAGACTTTCCTTGCTTACTCTTGTTTAATTTCTGCATTGTCATGTGTCATTCTTCTTAACAACTGGTTCAAAATATCTAAAACAATCATCATTCTTAATCCTATTTCCTGCTTATTAATAAATTGTCCTTTTAAGATGTTCTTAAAATTGATCTTTCACCCCAATTTGTATGGTCCTCCAACAGTTTTCTTGTTATACATTTAATATTTATAATATCTTGAACAATCTGCCAATAAGAGGTTAAGGCCTTAGTCTACTATTTTGGAGGACCCGGGCTCGAATCCGAGCAGACAGAGCCAACCTCTAGAAAAGCAGGACTGGTGCAAAATTCTCATGTGGAACCTTGTGAAAAAAGTTACGTAGTTTTTTTAGACAGTTAATAGTTTAATTAAACATTTCATTTATCTTCCAATTTCTTATATCAGTGTCAAATTACACGGGGTCTATGCTAGTGTGGAATTCAGTCTTAGAGACTCGCAGAAAATTATAAAATTTGTCGCAAAAATACCAAAGAAAAGTTGACCTCTAAAGTGAATAACCCTAGGAATTTTTCGTGGGCGGTCTGTCTCAGATATGTCGGGCTCTATCCAGGCCCATGAGGAGAAGGAACCCCATCTTGAGTCTGAACCAATGATGAATATAGAAAAAAGCCCTAATAGTGCCCACAGAACAGAAAGAATACAAAACGTAGTTCAAGACAATAAGCAAGCAGAAAACAAATTATGTATATAGCAGTAAAATCTACGTTTGAATTATTTCTGATTGTCACCTTCTCGCTGTTTAACATATAACACATTTGTATTTGTGGCTATGTAGACGACATAAGCCCGAAAAGAGTAGGCCCTATCTTAATCAGCATTTCATCCATCATGAAATATCAAATGCAATATTATTTTATTCAGGGCCGGATCATCGAATAGACAAATGTCTAGGGCACGGTTTTCTGAAGGGCCCAGTCAAACTGTCTATTTTGAAAAGATTTGTAAATAAGATATTTTATTTTTCTGTTGGACAACTGTATATAATAAACAAAAACATATTGCTTTTTATATGGTTAATGTGAATTCTAAAATCTAAAGAAAATGTGCTCTCATGTATTTTCTTATTGAAAGTAATTCTTCCGATAATTTAAATTTTTTTTTTATAGCGATAAGATTAATATTAACTACAAGATGATGAGCCCGGCGTTGCCTGGGCAAAAAATTAGAACAAAGGTTAAGATTATTAGATTATTTCATACTT